AAGATTATTTTACTCTGTCTAACACCAGACAATTTCACTTGTCAAGGGGAAAGTGCTGCCATTCAGTGAACTCAATCAGAGCTCAATGAGCAGCAGCACTCTCCCTCGATAAGTAAAATCATCTGGCATTAGATGAAGTGAAATAAACTAGTAAAGTAGGGTGCATTGGGGCACAATGCAGCTTACTGGGTTAACTGGAAAATATATTTATTTAAACAATACAGTAATACACACCCTATACTTGTATTTCAATTCATAGCATGATTTGGTATGCTTATGTCTATTTGACCCAAGTACCAGACAGGAATGATATTTGAATCACACCTGTATTCATTGAACAAAGCTAATTTAAATGTACATTAATTGTACATGAATCATGTAGATGTAAAAACTAGTTAAGAGCAAAAACACACCCACACAGCTTTGTTTTTTTATTTTTCTTGAGAAGGAATAACTGAGTTACAATGAGACCAGTATCAACAATTTCAAAAAGGTATTGTACAAAAATATTACAAACATAAGACACTTTAAAGACAGAAAAAACACGAAGTATGTCACTACAGAAACTGTATTCTGTGATATAGATGATATTGCTTTAAAGAAACTTGCAGCTTTTAGCAGTTGTGTAAGGGCCTGTTTATATCGAAACTGGCTGGCCCGCTAAGTGAGACAGCCCGGTAAGTGAGATCTCGCTGTCTACTTATTTTTATAGTAAAAATTATAATTAAAATTGTTTCTATGTACAAGCGGGAGGCCCTGTTGCAGAGACCAGGATGGAAATTTCTCCATATAAACAATCACAAGCAGGCTAGCCCAGTTGCCAGGATGAAAGTTCAACGATACTGCCGCAAGCTATTTTTAACAACTGTCAAAACAATGTCAAAACAACAAAATAGTCCCGGTAAGCAGGATGAAATTTTCTCAAATAAACACAAGAGAAATCATCCTGTGTATATACCTTACCGGGCTGTCTCGCTAAGCGGGCCAGCCCGGCTTCCATACAAACAGGCCCTATAAACAGTCTCTGTCAGGCAATTACAATGTTCTAATGTCCAAACTCTAAAGTATTATAAACAAGCAGGACAGACCACTTATGCACCTATCAATGTTAAGCCCCAGAGGGGGGGGGGGGGTCGGGCATAGGTGGGGCATTTGATTTTTTGAGCAAATTTTCAATCAAATGCCCCACCGTCGGGCAATAAATATTGGTCAAATGCCCCACTATTTTGCAATAAATACTATATTAATAAAGGTTAATTGGTTCAAATGGCCCAACTTGGGGCCAAAATGCTGATCAAAATCCCCAGGGTGGGGATGCAATTGATGATCAAATACCCCACATATGCCCGACCCCCCCCCTCTGGGGGTTAACATTGACAGGTGCATTATTGCAAGTTGCTAGTATTAAGTCATATCAACATGTGATCTCGACAATATACAGTGTATAAACTAAAGTAATTCAGCTTCTACACATGAAGCGACTTTAAACACTATCCTTACACTTTATCAATTCATTGAAGTTTGACATTCTATTTGTAGTATTACATCACAAGACATATTCTATTTGTAGTATCAAGTCACATCAGGATTTTATAATCTAGCGTTTTTGGACCCAAGTGATCTAGAGTTCTATCTTGTTAAAACCTATCCAAGGAAAAACAAGAAAGGGATATTGAAGTAATGGTGTTTTTGAGCCAAATAAATTCGAATATCCACCAGTATAAATGCAGTACTCCGTATATACTGGAGACAAAATGGCATCATAGCGAACACATTTTAATGATGCTCAAATTTATATTTAGTGCGCTATTTTCTTTAAAATATGACCCTGTTTGCTTTCTAAATACAACAAAATTACTGCTTTACCTTCTGTTGAAATAGTTCCACAGATAAATCGAAGTCACATTTCGTACTACTTGAAAAAAAGCTGTTTTTACTGTAGAAATGACAACTTCCCAATATAATTTTCTATTGTCAACATTGCATTACACTTGTTTAGCTCACGCATGCGCAATAAAAAAGATGGGACATGTTTCCGCTTGAGTAAGACTTCTGGTATTATCTCTTCTGTGGTTGCACAATGTACACGCTTTGCGTCAATTTGACAGTTGACAGTTTATTTATCGCAATCGACGCTGATTGGTTCCCGTTTAGCAGATCGATGCGAAAAGGGGATGATTGAATAAAACGTATGGTTCCGTGCAGGCTCACCTTTCTCCCAGTGAGCCTGTTCGCAGGCTATCGAATTCAAGTATAGGCCTACCCATATTATTATTTATGTGTGCACATATTAACTTCATACCATCATTTAGGCCCCGTTTACACTATACCGGATTGCATCGGAGCGTAGCGATTTTCATATCGGATTCGGCTGCTGTTTACACTACGCCACAGTAATCCGGTACGCGACGCGGAGCAAAAATCTCTCCGCTTTGGAGGTGATATGAAAAGTAATCCGGTATGTGCCGGAGCAGTGTAAACAGGCTAATCCGGTACGTTTCGGTACAAAATCGGTTTTGGCGTGTATGTTTTAACATTTTCGCCTTTATTTGCTCGCTTTTAGGGAAAGTAGATTTATTACACCGAGGGGATGAAGATGTCTTGAAAAAAGCTCATATTTTTACAAAGCCCCTGTTGAGGTTATCGGTAAATTTCGATGCCCCCCCCCTCCAAGTTTTTAAAATTTTCAATGCCCCCCCCCCTCTAGAATTCGGAATCGAAGGAGTACAATCCAGAATTCTCTCTTATCATAGATACAATTTGCAGTTCCTCAAGATGTCTGATATACTCAAACATGTGCTTTTCCTCAACAAAACTACCGATCTGCTGCTTCTTTCACCTCACTAGCGCCAGATGAAATGGCACCGTCTTTAAAACATTTTAAATTGGCTCTAGGGGTGAAATTATCAACAGGTTGTTGTTGTCCATCATTCAGCGTATTCGGAGTCTTGAGCACGTTCATGTAGTGGCCAGGATTTCCTGGATCAGGGTAATGTGCTGGAACCTTACAGAATGTCGCCCCCACCCAAGTGTCTCCCGGCATCTGTTGCAAATGTCTTTGTATGCCTGTCAAAAATGCATGCAAAAGTGCCATTATGCTTCAATTTCTTTAATTTCCATCCCGTTTGTACGAAATATCCCATAAACATAGAACACATCATTCTTGCAAATCGTATATGCTTTTTGTTTTTGGAACTGCTACTTTTTGGCGCGTAAGTTACTTCACAAACCTGGCGCCAAAAAATTTAAAATAAGCTATAGGTGATTTCATGTATCCATTTAGAAGAGCAGACTAAGGATATCTTAAAACTGAAATCGGTTTCGAATACAACCATCAGGGACGTAGCAAAGCATCTGACGTTTGGGGGTGGGTGGGTGTCAGAGGATTATACGTATTGGCACTCTCATACTAAGTTTTGGGAGAAAAGGGGGGTCTGGGGGTCCTCCCCCAGAAAATTTTTACATTTTTGAAGCTCTAGGACTGAATTTCTGGCGTTTTCTAAAGCAAATTTCGCAAACAAATTACATGTAAATTGACTGTATTTTACAAAAATGGTTATCATTTCACAAAAATAATTACTTTATTATGCAAATTTTACCTGAAAATCTAAAAATTTTAACTTTAATTTGCTGGGGTCAAATCTTTGAAAAGTTTAGAGCCCCCCCTTCAGTATATCAA